GGCACTGCCCGAGCCCCTGCGCTCCTGTCCTCTGGTCCATGGCCACCACCTCCTTTGCCTCAGGCTCTACGCTTGGGCTGAACAAAGATCTCCCCAGAGACTTCAGAATCTAAAACATAAAAGGTGGGGGGTGCTTGGTGTCATGCAAACGTTTTCACCAGGCGGTCAAAGTGCAATAACTAGGGACGCTGGTCTGGATTAGTTAGCGGCCCTGTCGTCCAAACAGCCGAGTGGTCGGAATACAGAAACCCGGGGCGTGGACACCCACTGCCGAACGACTGCCGACCTTTGGGAATGTCACAGGGGAGTCTGGGGAGATGAACAGTGCGGGTGAAAATGGCTTTTGATTTTTAAAAATCCCCAGCATTCATCTAAAACAACAATAACAGCTCATAATAACAGGGCGCGCGATAACGAACTATTCACAGCAGAAGAGGTAATTGTTCAATTAAGACCCGAGAGTTCCTGAGACTGTCTTTTCTGAGGGGCCCCATTGTTTTTGACTCCAGTGGCGCTAATTATTCCCCAATAGTGCTTTAAACTTGGATGAAAAAGCCCTCCTGTCAAATATGACACAGAAGCGCTTTGTCACGGTGAATACACACGCGCACACGCACATCCTAAGAAATCCTCCTCGGAACAAAGTTAGGGCAGATTCAGAGGAAGAGGGTGGGCCTGGGAGCTGACAGCCTCGGGCTCAGGGAGGTGGCAGGCGACCCTGGCTGCCTCTGAGGTCAGTGCTTTCTTCCCAGGAGGGACTGAGGACAGAAGGCCCGGGGTCAAGTCCCAGCTCCACACCTCCAGCCAGGCGTCCGGGGAGAAACTCACTTCTCTGAGCCTCTTTATTCTGCAACGGGGAGCACAGCGGACATGGCCTGCCGGGTTCTACTTACTATTTCTTCTAGAGTCTGTATCTGTTACTGCCAAAAATTGCTGCCTGCACTTGAAAAACCATCACAGAACCTCAGTGGCATACGAGCCAGCTCTTCCCTGCACCTGTGGGTCCTGCTCTCAGCGAGGCTTGCCCGGGAGACAAAGCTCTGCTCCCAGCCTCTCGGCCTCCTGCGAGGGGCATGGCTAGGGGTGTCTGCTAGCACCCCATTGGTTAAAACAAGTCACATGACCAGGGGTGTGCCATTATGCTCCACCCACAGTGGGCGGGCGCCACAAAGCTGTGCTGCAAAGGCATGGATGAAGGGAAGAGTCGGACTTGGGCCATGGCCCAGCTGTCAGCGTTCCCTCAGGAACGCCCCTCCCCGGGCGTGGGGTTCCGGGGAAGCTAACGCCACCCTTGGCTCTCACTGCCTTTCCGAGGTGCTGAGCCTCAGGTGTTTCTCTATAAAGAGAGAGATTAGCAGCCCCTGGGGGGCACTGAAGACACAGAAGCATCAGACTGAGACCTTGTCGTCATCCGGAGGGACAGAGACCTGAAAAGGGCATGGGTTTTTTTTAATTCTATCTAATAATAGACAAACATGGTAATTGACCATACCTTCGCTACGCTTCCCATTGGCTAATCAGGGCGATATGCAAATTAACTGCCAACAAAGATGGCAGTTAACTGCCAACAAAGATGGCGGTTAATTTGCATATATAGGCGCAATGCTGGGAGGCGAAAGGGGAAGGACGGAAGAAGCCGCCTGCCGCTGACAGTGATCGGAAACCCAGGCGGCAGGCAAGAGCCCCCCAGCCCGTGATCAGAGAACCGGGGCCGCCTTTGCCCGCCCCCCGGCCGGTGATCGGAGAAGACAGGTGGGGCAGGGCCAGCAGCCGCTTCTTCCCTGCCCCCACCCCCCAGCCGGTGTTCAGAGAAGTACCTGTATTTTTTTTCAAAGTACCTGTATTTTTAATAATTTCTTGACATGGTAAAATAATTTTACATTACGATCCAAGGGTGGTGGGGTGAGGAGAAGGAGCAACAGAACAATCCAACAAACAAAAAGGGAAACAGAACTGCATGGTGGAAGGGATTTGAAGGGTGGGTAGGGGCATTGCCCAACTAAAATGCAATTGGTTTTTTACTGAGTACTATTCATGGGAAGACAGCATCCTGACTCCTTCTCTATACAGCATATTGGGAGTAAAAATGATGCATCCAGGTGGAAATATGATTAGGGGTTGGAAGACAGGGAAAGAAGAAGTCAGAAATAGACACTGAGAGAGTCACTGGCTGGCTGGCTGCAAATACTGGACTCTCCAGTAGTGATAGATAAAAAGTGGGGGATATCTCTGGGAAGA